TTCCGACAGACGAAATGTGACAGATGACAATTGACAGATGACAGATTACAGGTGACAGGTGGCAAATGACACCTGTAATCTGTCATCTGTCAATTGTCATTTGTTACATTTCGTCTGTCACCTGTCACCTGTCATCTATCACCTGTCATATGTCACCTGTGTTGTGTCATATGTCAATTTTCATCTGTCACATTTATCTAATTGGCATATACTTTATTTACAAGAAACAGATGGTACATGTTCATTGTCACGTCAACCTGACGGTAAAAAATATATTTGCCATAGAATATAAGTTCCTTATAATTTATTTTTATTTATTTTGTACTTTGTAATATAAATATTCTATGGCAATTATATTTAAGTAAAAATATGTAGTGCCTAAGAATGTATTTTCATTTATTTTTTTACTTAAAAGTAGGTTTATTCATATTTTATTCAATATTTTAAATTTTCTTGTCTAATTAAAAAAAAAAGATTTATTATGTTGGTGTAAGTTCCTTAGACTATATTTTTATTTGTTTTTGTACCCTAAATAAGTAAATTGATTAATTAAATATTTTTTAAAATTTTACAAGAAAATTTCATAATATATATATATATATATATATATACTATATCTTTTTCATAATATACCTACATTGATATTTTCTTGTCTAATTTAAAAAAAATATTTCCTGTGTTATGTTAATTACGTGTAATTTGTAATAAATAAATAAATACAATGTTTTTAAGTTTTAATTATTTAAACCTTATTATTATTGGCATTTAATTAGTATATAGGGCTTTCCACAATATTTAGGAATTTTTATGTTCGTTAATATTAAAAATGCTGAATAAAACCACACGCGTGTAATAAATTATTATTATTATATATTAAGATTATTATGCTTACAAGCTTATTACAAGCATAATAAACAATATTTCAAAATAAATTTAATTACAAGTGGTTTTTATTGACAATTTTTAATTGTGGCGGGCAGGACGAAAATTTCTGAGTACCGTGGAATGCCCCATATACTACAGCAAATTTAATATATTTGACATTCTAAAACTACAAAATTTACTATTCAAGCATTAAAGATTGATATTTGAATATCATTTATTAAATCTAAAACTATATTTTATATTATAAAACGAGTGAAATTTACATTTCTTGATTTTTAAATTTTGCTATCTGAAACTGCAAAATTCCCACTACCTAATCTTAATAAAGGGTTAAAAAATCAATAAAAATTTAAGCAAATTCAAGTACAACTTACTAAATGAAACTGTAATTTTTATTTCTCAGACGCCTGTTCCAAAGGCTTGTGCGAAAAATTACAGTTTGAGATAGTAATTCTTATAATCAAGTCTTTAAGTTTTAAAATATATTTATGATTTGAAGCTACAATATTTATGACTTAAAACTGTAATACTTGCAGTATCACGGAAATAGTGTACATATTGCAGTTTTGAGTTTGAAGAGATCACTTGCTACCCGAAACTGTAATAAATGCTAAATGCGAAGTTAAGTTTTCCTGTTTTCTTTTTTCCGTGTGCAACAGATTTTAGGAAAATTGATTTCTTGGCATTAAAAATTACTATTTTTTGGCAAATTGTCATATTTTGCATAATATAATTTAAAAAGAATTTTAATTTCACACGGCGATTTTATTCCGCTATTCGTAACATTAATCGTTGTATTAATTCTAAAATACAATCTAAAGTTTTGCAGACTTATACTTAGGGTTGTGTAATTGACCGGTCAAATTGTTTTTGGTCAATTGACCGGTCAATTGACCAAAATAAAATATCAAAATAAATATTACTGTGATTTATTTGTACTTAATAAATAGGTAATTAAAATACGTTACCAAATTTTTTTTTATTATAAAAGTTATGTCCATCTAGAAACTTTTGTGCGGCTTTAAAAAGTTATGTTTCGCTATTAAAAAAGATAGGTCTCGCTTTAAGGGCCAAGCCCCGTCCGGCCTAGCAACCCCTCGACTCGGGGAACCACCAAATTGTAAATGATGTCGATATTGCACGATCGCAAAAATTTTGAGATTCACGGGTAATTGTTGATACCTAAATAAAATGCTGCAAAAATTAAATATATTTTGACCGGTCAAATAGGTAGCGGTCAATGGACAGTCAATTGACTGGTAAATTGACCGCGGTCAATTGACCATTCCCAACTCTACTTATACTTAAAATGTGAGCGCTTCTAATAGCAATTCAAAATTTTTAAAAATTTACAAAGATTTTGAAAAAAAATTGCAATATAGAATTATCAAAATCGTGCATCAAAAACTTTACCCTGCGGCGACCTATGTGAATTATTGAAAATTTCTATACATATATATATATCGAGTCAACTGTAGTAAAAACATTGACAAAGTTTAAAAAAAAATTAAGTCGCTTACTTCAACGGTTGTAGAAATATGAATTTTTATCCAAGAGTCCTGAAATGCGCGCTAGAATCATACCTATAACTGGAAACAAATTTTTGAACGCAAAAACGACAAATGCACCGATACTTGATTCAACTACCTAAACCCCGTATAGCATACGCCCCGCCCACTGACGGCGCGAGCAGATCAGGCAAGACAGACAGAATTAAATAGATATTATTGTAGATTTCACAACAGTGCCTAGCGACTTTTTATTGGTTGTTTTGTATTCGCGGCAAGGTCAGAAAGAGAACGATAAAACCGGGTGGGACTTTATGATGTCCATCATAGTACTTTAAAAACATAAAAAAAATTCTATAAAATGCCTTGTTGGATCCTCAGGTGACCATAACATTAAAAATGCATGTACTTTAAAGTCATATCGAAGAATGTCTTCAGTTTTTGGAGGAAAGCTTATAAGCATCGAGGGAGAATCTGTTCATAGAATATAGAATATAAAATGAATTTGATAGATATCCAAGATATCCTGATAATTAAGGTAATTGAATTTAAATAATCTTTATATATATATATATATAAGAATCTTTATATATATATATATATATATATATATATATATATAATAATAATCTACGTAGATTATGTTCATTTTGCATTACCTTAAAACAATAACAAGTATTAGGTATATTAGTTTATAAACTGTATTTTACATTATTATTTTGTATTTATAATGTAATTTAACCATTTTCAGTCATCAATCTGCCAAATTTTCTAAATATTGTACCTTAGTTTTGATCACCGTGTGTAGTGAAGGGCTATGTGAATGTTCTGATTTTTTACAAACAAATTTTTCCATCTACTTTTTTCATCAGTATTATATAATATAATAATGATGACAAATTTTGTGGATTACTTATATAAAAAAAATTAAAATAATTTATTAAGCGTATTATAATAGCTAATAATTGCTTAAAAAGATGATAAATTTTTTAATAAAATTTCATTGTCCTTTTTATTAAATATTCATATCTAAATGATTGTATTAAATTTTTTAAATGATTATTATTAGTAATTGCAATAAAATTTCATTGCTTGGCAGTGTCGGACTAAGCCCGATACTATCGGATAGAGGCCCTGGCGGCAAAATAGAGTTTGCTTAGATTCAGTTTTTATTGTTAAAAAAACAGTTTAATTTTTAATATTAAATTTGCTAGAATATCCGTTGCAACCGTTCCCCCAAGACCCTATATATTTTTTGACAACTGGTACCTGTAGGTATACATGCATTTTTTGATAAAAACTTTTCTGTTGTGGGGGCTCCTTGCGAGTCGGGTGGGTAGGTATCATAAAATTTGGCTTTAACTAGATACGAGGAAATGTGTCATTGTCATTCCCTACACTAATAATCCGCCAATCCTTATATATTGCCTGCATTTGGAGGCCCTTAACTCCAAATTCCTATTACTGAACAAACAATTTTAGTGTTAGTTTGTATTATACTGGGGCCCAGGCTAGGTGCCCCCCTTAGTACGCCACTGTTTCTTAGGTATCTATGAATTATATTATGAACTATATATTATATGGCATGACTTTAAGTAAGTATATACGGTCATAAATTTAACACAATTACAAAATAAAATGAAAATAAAAACTTATATGGCTTTGAACACGTACAAGTTGAAAATAATTGTTTTGAGTTTTAATTAATTAAATTAAATTAAATAGAAATTTAACAACAATAATTAGAAACAATGTTTACCTAAAAATAAAAATGTATAAAGTATTATAATTTTTTTATTGATTAATACATAAATTTAATAAAATTGTTGTTCTTCTTAAAAATATATTACATACCTACTTATATTTATTTCATGGGCTTGTGTTCTTTCTGATATTATTAAGAATAATTAAAGTGAAATATAATACTTAATTAAATATTAAGTTTACCACAGCAAAACTCAACAATAAATAAAATAATAATAAAATTAATACGCAATAACATATTAAAACCAATATTATTATCAATTGCACCTATTGATATCTCACATTAAATACTACAATATTTTTAATTTCCTATTCTTTTTATAATAGAAATTTAATATAAATAAATATTATTATTTAAACCATACGAATTTACCTATATACTTATTTGATGTTAATTTCATGTGGATAATTTTTTTAAATATTTACTTGTAATTGCGTGATTCACAAAACAAATTTTCTAGTTGGTTTATAAAAAACATCGATATGAAAAATACCAGGTTATATAAACTATAATAAAAATTTCTTTGTATAGCACAATAAACAAGTTATTTACCACATATTATTAATGTTAAACCTAATCTCATGAGTGAATATTTTTCCATAGGTAATATTATTGGCAAACGCATTTCTTAAAAAATACATAGGCATTTTTTAAATTTTAAACTAATTCGTGATGTAACTAATTGGGTTACAGCAAGAGCAAATGACTTTGAAAAGTCACATTCGGTCAGAGGACATGTGCGCCATCAAAAATAAATATAACCAATATACGGCAGCTTACAAATACAAAAGAAAATAAATAAAATAGAAAAAAGTGAAATTAAATTTAAAAAAAATACTTACGGCGTCTCCCATGGCTTAACACACACACTGTTGTATTTTGAGAAGTTGGCACGTGTTTTCACAAATAGAGGAAAACATGTAATGTATACAAATCGATATAATTTTTCTTTCTTGATATCTAAACGGCGTATACAAGTTCAAAAAGGTCTTGCTCGATTAAACTTTAAAACGAGTAAAACGTCTATGGAGCGGAGGAAACTCGACTTATAGACGGAATATCTGATAATACTAATTCAAGCGTCGATTTTAAGAAAATTGTGCTCCGCTGTTCTAAAATAGGATGCGGCAACGTCATGTTTACTAAGTTATGCACAGACAGAAAAAAATATGTATCGTTCATCTCAATGCGCGTATGTTTGCGTAAAAAATGCAAATAACTTGATTTATTGTAATAAAAAAATTTACTGTTTTGTAAAAAAATTTAAACAATGCATTGTAGGCAGTGGCGTACCTAAGCATTCAGCCCCCCCCCGACCGGGAAAATCTCAATGGGGCCCCCATTTTTAATTTATCAGTATAAAAAAGGGCTAACGAAGTTCTGTAACACAAAGGGCGTTGTTGAGGGTTAAAAAGAAAGAAATATTTTTTCATCAAATTTATTTTTTATTTAAAAAATGCTCATTTTAGCACTGTAACATTGTCAATTTTTTATAATAAATTATTATAATTGTAAATTTTTTATAATAATAAAGGCTGTAATTTCCACAAAATATTTATTATTATACCTCGGAACTTTTCGAGCGATGACGTCAAAATGTTTACAAAAATCAGAGTTAAAAAAGTAAACACTTATCTTAATACATGTGCAAAAAATAATTATAATATCACAAAATAATCATTATATAGGTATGTCCACATAGATTAAAAAAACAAATGAGTCAAACCTATGTACCCAGATAGCACATATACAGGCCCGTTCCTGGGGTGTCTGGCGCCTACGTGCAGCATTCTTTGGTGCGCCCCTTTTATATTTAAATATAATACATTAAATATTTTAATTTTGAGCCCTAAAATTTCCAAAATATATATTTTGCAACAAACTGGCAAAATGTACTTGAAAATGTAAAAAAAACTGCTGAAATTGAGTATAAAAAATATTTATTAAATTATCAAACAAACAAAATCACAAAAAATAGTTAGTAATAAAAATACTCTAGAGAAAACAAATTTTTTTTTAAAACCAAATAAACAATATAATAACTACAACTGGTTTTTAGTGACGCACTCTCTAAAAATGAATTAGTCAAAAATGACTTTTAAAGTAACTACACTGAGAAAAAAATTGGACAAATAAACTGTGTTGCTAATACTTTTATTTATAGTGAATATATTGTTTATAACCTCTAAATAGTCAAAATAATAACGATAAATATACTTTAGTAAAACTTTATGTGTCGGGAATAAAAATATATTTAGGATAAATAAACTGTACCCTTGTCCCATATTTAAATATTTTTTTTATTTGGGAGCAATAAACTTTTTTCTCAGTGTAATACCTATAGTCCACAGCAATTTGTATCCTGGATATTTAACAGCTTCTTATTATGTAAAATTGTCCCCTGAATCCAAAAAGACCGTCAAAAATTATGAAAGTAGAGCGGTTTTTGAGATATCGTATAATCCATATTATATGGAAATTTGACTATATCTCAAAAACTGTTCTATGTACTTTTATAAGCGGACAATTTTACATAGGATTTGACTGCTAATTGTCCGGGATGCAAATTGCTGTTGACGATAATTATTAGTGGCTGCTTTTTCGCTATGGCAATTGGTCATTTTTGATTAATTAATTTTTAGAGAGTACCTTTAGTTACAATGTCATGTACTGTGTAGACTACTGTTAAACTTTGCTACCGTCAAGTGCAACTATAAAACAAATACTAAAAATATTATGACAATTTCTTTCCTTTTATTTTGATACTTAAGTATTGTTGTATAGTATGTTGATATAATTATATCAACAACAAAACTTAAGTCGCTAAAATTAAAGCGGCAAAAGGCGCTTCATAGCGGCCGAAAAAAATGGCGGCAACCTTTATCCTATATATGTATATAAGTATTTGTTTATTTGCAAGAAAGTACCGATTGACTCTTTGATTTTGCGCCCCCAAAATGTTGCGCCTGCGTGCGTGCACGCAATGCACGCCCGCCAGAAACGGCCCTGCACATATATTAGGTAATCGAAACAAAGCCTAAGGTATAAGATTGAAAAAGCCAACTTTTGCGGAAAATTTATTTAAAAGGCTATACTTTAAATTAAAGTCTTCAATAACAACTATAGTAACTGCAGTAACAGAAAATAATCATTTAAGTAAACAACAAGGAAAAATATAGCTTTAGTTGCCCAACTTTCTTAGTAGAAATCACTATCGCTGTCAAAACAACCATCTATTGCAGCTGGCTGCAATAAGTTCATGGTGGCTTAGTGCTGGGCAAAATTAATAAATATATTTTTTATTTCTAATAAAATATTCTTCAATAATAATAATAATAATAATAATAATGTGTTTATTGTGTACAATAATTTATAAAAATTGTATACACAATTGGAAAGAGTTCGGCTTTGCCGTTCTTCCTCTCTCCCAGGATATAAAAAAGGCCTAATAAATTATCATTATTAAATAATTATATCCGAATAGAGCTTTATTTTGAATCAAATTGTAAAACCACACAGAAAATCTTGCGTTTTCTCCGAGGTTTTCTCCTGGATAGGTTTAATTCGGCAAAAGTTTTTGTTTCGATAATAAAGCTTGAGTACTGAAGAGTTTAAGAGCATTAACAAAAACTTATAGTTCAGTGTATATCTTGATATATCTCCATGTAATATTTTAATTTTTACACTGAGCTACAAGTTTTTGTTGATGGTCTTAAACTCTCCAGTACTCAAGCTCTATTATCGAAACAAAAACTTTTGCCGAATTTTGCCTATCCAGGAGAAAACCTCGCAGAAAAAGCAAGATTTTCTGTGTGGTTTTACAATTTGATTCAAAATAAAGCTCCATTCGAATATAATTATTTAATAATAATACATAATTTATTAGGCCAAGATTGTAAAAAAAGTTTTTGAATATGTTATCTGTCATTTTAAAAGTTTTGACGTATTTTCGAAATGTCATATTTAAAGGCAATTTTAGTGGTTTTAATGGATTTTTCTATTTTTTTTTCATGTTCAATCGTTTGAGCTGTGGTGCCTATAAATTGACAGAGTAATTTTAAAATACCCTGAGAACAAGAAACATTTATTATTAAAAATCAAAATAGCTATTAAACTTTTTATTTGAATTTTTAAATTTTTCTGAAAATAAATTTAAGGAAAAGTGCACGTCCCAGTACTTGACAGAGGAAGACCTATCTTAGCAACGCGTGCTCTTAAAACGTAAAACGTAAAAACCATATCCAACAATAACTTCTCATAAAGTACAAACAAACTATAGGGTAACAGTCATAATCACCAAATAATCTCTCAAAAAGTGCAAACAAATTATAGTGTAACAACTACGGTGAGTACAGACTACTCTACGGTCAAGAATGAGTTAAGTGCTAAGTGAAGGAAGAGTTAAGCTTCTGAGCAGTCGCACCACCTGTCAACCGGACGATTTTCACTGGCCAAACAAAAGAGGTCAAACCAGGGAGGAATAGGCCATCAGCAAAAATTTGATAAGTATCCTCAACTCATCTGCATGACCTAACACATAATTTGCAAAATTAAACAAGACAATGCACACTGCCTAATCTCTACAAAAAAACATTAAACATCGGTACCAATAAAAACATTAGAAAGATAATTACCCTCTTATATATGCCTACAAGACAATTATCGCTTGATTACAGCGATAATTGTCTACTAGGAATCGATAATTCCATTGTATCTACGTATCCATGGCAATTAATAAAAATAACGTCAGTTTTTATTTTAATGTGACAGTTGTTTTAAATGTCACGTTTTGGTAAAGAATCATTTGAATCAATTATTGAATAATATTAGATGAAGTTTTGTGTTGAAATTAAAATGAAAATGTTATTCTTTGATTTAATTAGTTTATTCGTGTAATTATCTAAACAAATTACACTCGTGCATAAAAATAATCAGATAATTTTGCATTCAAGCATATTGCCTTTTAAAAAATGCATTCGGTCATTTTCATATTTTGAGGAAAGGGCCCTCCACCTTCGGTGTCGGGCTCTTTCCAAAATATGAAAATGAACTCATGCATTTTTTAGGCAATATGCTTTCAAGCAAAATTATCGATAATTTTTAAGCACTTGTGTAATTACCCCCGATAATACCTTCTAACATAAACAAAATTTCCCAACAGAGTCTAACGCGGCATACACCAAAGCTGAGTGGGACAATAAATCTGTCAACGAAACAGTCCAAGATTAACAAAAACGAGACCAAATAAGCATTTGACACTGAACATAAACTAACACTCAATAAATTAAGAAATTCCAAACAAAGTAAAAACAGCAAAATAATCAAATTCTATTGAATTTGTAAACACATTAGATATAACACAATAATTAGGCTGTCATTTGTTTAACTAATAAATAAATTCAATACCGTAAACACGGGTGACTTTGCACCCCGCGGGTGACTTTGGCCCTTTTATGAAAAATCTTTTCGCGCTCGATAAATTAACATTTATAATTTGTTGGTCTAAACCTGTCTATTGAGCGATTCTATTGAGTTTATATTACAGGAAAATCAGTGTTTTAAAAAAATAAATGGGATTTATTACACTTTAAATTTTTTTTTTAAATTAGTGCAAAACTCTTAAAAATACACGCGTTTCAATTTCTATATTATGCGCAATTCTTTGGAATGATAGTTGGGTCTTGACTCTTGAAGTGTAAGGACGCTCAAAGATAGTTAACGAGATCCCTCTTAAGCAGCGTATACGATACAAACGTAGTAAAGTACCAAAAGCGAATCTAAGTATGCGGAAATATCGGTAATCGGTAATAAATAAATAAATAAATAAACAAACAAAAAAAGTGCAACAAGTGTGAAAAGTGCGGGAGGACCCCGGTTAACGCCGTAAAATAACAAAAAATCAATATCGATTCTACACGTGATAACTGTCCCAAGTGCAAAAGAGTGCAAATTGTGTGTGGTACCTCCTCCTGAATTAAGTCCTCAAGTGTTTGACCTGGTTAAAAGGTGTGAGAGAGACGATCAGTTCCAATGAAAATTTCCTGGGCTACTACACGTGCGGGCGGCATGCGATAAGGATCATTTCAGCACACCTGCCTGGCAATTATC